TGTGTGTGTGTCTGTCTGTCTCTGTGAGTGAGCATGTCTGTCTCTCTAAGTGTATCTGTCTGTCTCTCTGAGTGTGTGTGTCTGTCTGTCTCTGTGAGTGTGTGTGTATGTGTCTGTATGTGTGTGTGTGTACACTACTTGACAGTGAAAGCTGACACAGTCATCCTGAGAACCAAGACAATCTCATCCTTAGCCCTGCTTCTCCATTCATCACCCATCTTCAGTCACAGAGCTCCTCCCGGCATCCTAGATGCTCCAGGGTCATCTCCTTCTCTCTGCCTCTGTCTGATTGATCTTCTCACCAGGGTAAGCTATTTTGTGTTTCTGAGTTAGGTCAGAGTCAAGATTTAAGAACTATCCACTGAATGAATGACAGAGAGAAGGGGAGGAGGGAAGGAATACATTTTGAAGAGCTAATATGCAGTAACAATCTAAAAAAATCAATATAGTGCTCATTAATATTCTAAAGATAGTCTTCATAAGAATAGAGAAAAATCCTAAAATTCATGTGAACGCACAAAAGACTAAATTGCTAAAGCAATTCTGAAGAAAATGATAAAACAAAAAAATAGTCAAGGTGATATCACTATACTCTATTTCAAATCATGCTACAGAGCCATTGGAAAGAAATCAACACACAATCAGGCATGCAGAGGTCTGGAATGGGAGAGAGCACAGAAAAGAGCCTTCACAACCACGAGGGTCTGAGTTTCAACCAACTGCATATCCATATGTGGATAAATGAAACCAGATCCTTCTTACATTCTTAAAAAGAAAAATCAACAAAAGACAAATCAAAGACCTTAATGTTGAGGACAAAGCAGCTCAGGAGCTCTGCAGATACCTCATCGGCAATGGTGGCTGTAGTCGGTATCAATGTATTGCAGTCTTAAGGGTCGCTAAGAACTGGGTTTCAAAGTGTTCAAAAGAGATCAGTTTGTGTGCAGCTGTCTCCATTTAGCTGGTTTTAATTTGTTGGTTCAAGCAGTAATATACATTCGTTGGGACAACAAGAGGCTGTCAAGAGCTGTGGCATCTGCTTTTCCTTGTAATCTAAAAATGCTTTTAAAAAATTTATTCATTAAAAATAAGCTTTTGGAATTGAAATAGCAGCAAACTGGCTTAATAAGAGATGCCAACAGATGTGTAGAATTAGAGAGCCCACAAGTAGGTCCATATATTTATGCTAAGTAGCAAAATATATATGCTTTAAGTATACCATGAGGAAAGGACATTCTCTTTAGTGCATTTTATTTACTTATTTACCTGGATGTAGGTGAATGCATGTGCACGCGAAAGTGCATGTTTGGCGGTCAGGTGACAACTTTTGTGCCTTGGTTCTTTCTTTCCACAGTGTGGGTCCCAGGAATTAAACTCAGGCAATGAGGCTTGGTGGCAAGCGTCTTTGCCTACTGAGCCATCTTGTTGGCCCAGGACACAGTCTCTTTAATTAATAAACAGTTTTAGAAAAATGGATGTCCATTGTAAAAGAAGGAAATTGGAATTTTACTTCACATATACATTATACAGTAATATATATGTGTGTGCTGATATGTGTGCAAAAGTCAATTCAAAATGAATTAAAGGCAATTGTAGAAACAAGCTCTCTGATACAAAAAAAACTTCTGGAAGGAAATATACAGGAAAAATTTTATGATGTTATTTTAGGTGATGACTTTTAAAAAAAATATATGATCCTAAAACACAGCAAAGAAAATGAATCAACAATGAGACCTATAGATTTGGAGAAAATATTCACAAATTTTATGTCTGAAAGCAATAAATGTGAAGCACGGCCTCACATATGCGGAATCTGTAAGCGTCAACATACAGACACAGAGGGTAGAATGGAGCTTACTATTTGACAGGGCATGGGGAAAAATGGGGAGATGCTAGGCAGAGAAGAGTTTCAGTTGACAAAAAGAATACAGTTTGGAGAGCCACTGGACACCATGGTGAGTGCAGTTAACTGAATAGCAGCTTTAAAATGTTCACACCATCAAAGGGAACAAGACGGGAGATGCTGGATAGCTTGACCTGGTCCGCATCGTCATCAAAACATCACACACACAATTACAATTATCAACTTAAAAGCCTTGGTTGATTTGATGGGTGGGAATTCAGAGCTTTGTTTAGCCTAAGCAAGCATTCTGCCCCTGAGATACTCTCCAGCCCTTGGAGTTTTGAAATATGATCCTATTATGTAGCCCAGGTTACCAGTGAATTTGCTCTGTAGACCAGATGAGTCTCGAACTTGCTATCCTCTTGCCTCAACATCCTGATTCCTGGGATTATGCCCATGTTTTACCATGCCTAGTCATAGCTAACATCACTACATACATGCAATGAGATGGTGTTTGAAAAAGTTTGTCATACTCAAGATGTGCCCAGTGGATAAATATGTCTTCCCTGGAGTTCATCTTTTAAGATCAAAACTTCTTGCCTGAGTATTCAGTAGCTGTGAGACTCTGAGCATGTGTATCTAATAGTCTATGCAGTAAAATATTAGTAACACCTCATGGGGCTGAGATGATTGTATGATGTCATGCTTAAGAGTAGCCTATTTCCCATTGTGCCTATGTAACACATTTAGGAATACAAGGGTTAGACCCAGTCCTTCTTTAATTCTTTTAACTGATTCAAGATGGTTAGCCTGTGAGTTAAGGGCCTACAGCAAATTCATGGCTCTGAGTTTATTGTTAGGGTGTTTTCTATATTTTATTTAGAAATAGCTGAGAGGAGTTAACAGACAACAGTCCAGATTGCCTTACCGGATAGTTGGTTTTGAAAACGTCAGAAGTCCACAGAATTGACGTTACAAATATTTCGGCATTAAGGTTCATTTTATTAGAGACCTGTCTGCTCCTGACAGCTTCCTTTCTTGGATTCTAAAAAGAAATTGAGCATCTCTGGAGTTTTTCCAGTTGCGATGAGACAGCCACTAGGCAAGAATTATCTCTTTTCTTTTCTTTTTTTTTTCTTTTTCTTTTTTCTTTTTTCTTTTTTTTTTTTGGTTTTTTTGAGACAGGGTTTCTCTGTGTAGCCTTGGCTGTCCTGGAACTCACTCTGTAGACCAGGCTGGCCTCGAACTCAGAAATCCACCTACCTCTGCCTCCCAAGTGCTGGGATTAAAGGCGTGCACCACCACCGCCAGGCGCCTCTTTTCATCTATAGACAAATTACTATCCAGAAAAGGACATACTTGTGGAATAGTTGACTGATTATATTTGCCAAGACAGAGTAATCAGCCCTTAATAATTCTTCATCATTAGGTCTGTCAGATGATCCTGGGCCAGAAGGCTGAAGATCGGATGTTCCAACATTTTGTAGTATAGGGACTGTCCAGGTGTTCAGCAGTCTCTATAAATTGGCTAAGTTTTAGAAGCTATGCTTTGTGCTTCCCATAATTTCGGTTAATTCAGTCATTCTGGATTTCTGACGGGGTTGAAGACTTATAGTCATAGCCAATCCCGGCTATTTACTTTGAGAGAAAAGATTTGAGAGGATGGTTTTCAGCTGACATTCATTCTAAAGCCAAGAAAAAAGCCAGGTTCAGAACTAAGTCTTTTAGTTAGGAGAGATGACAGAGGTTCTGGTTAGTCAACAAAATGATGGACTGGGTATTAGGTCTATCTTGTACCTTACTGATGCAAATTGGTATAGTTATGCTCTAATTGTATTTTTAGAAAAAATGTTTTATCTTAACAGGAAGGGTGGTATGTAGGAGGAGCTATGGTGGGAGAAGTAAGGAGAAGAAGAGGAGGAGTAAGGAGAGGAGGAGGAGAAAGAGAGGAGGAACTAGGAGATGAGAGAGAGAGAGAGAGAGAGAGAGAGAGAGAGAGAGAGAGAGAAGAAGAAGAAGAAGAAGAAGAAGAAGAAGAAGAAGAAGAAGAAGAAGAAGAAGAAGAGAGGAGAACATGGACGCGGATGTTCACATGTTTCTGCCAGTCAAAGATAGTTGGCATATCTAGGTTGGGTATTGGGTTACACTTCTGATTGTATGGGCATCTTGTTATTGAGCATTACCAAACTTATAAAGCCTTTGATTAACATTTTTAAAAAGTTACTAATTAAAAAAAAAGGATGAGGAGGGAGGGTGATGGAATACATGTGACAGGAAATCAGATGAGGAAACTAGCTGGAGGAAGAAAGGGAAGGGGCAGAGGGAAACAAAACAGAACTCTAATGACACATGTATGAGGATGCTGTAATAAAACCCAGTACTTTGTTAAAAAAAAAAAAAGATGCAAGAATATCCTGGGCTTTCTAGACTTTACTTCAGTCAGTGTCTAGAAGCTCCTAGTCAGAAGTTACAGTCATGTAACTCACACAGACACCCACAGAGCCCATGATGTAACTCACACATACACTCACAGAGCCCATGATGTAACTCACACAGACACCCACAGAGCCCATGAACCTTCTCTTTTTATCATTAGCTATATCTCATAATTATCATAAGGGAAAGAGTTAGATTTAAGTAGAGAAGGGAAATAACTGAAGGTCCCAGAGAAGTTGACAATGAGGGAAAAAAAAAAGAGAGAGAGAGAGAGAGAGAGAGAGACAAAAGTTGCCTATGATGCCTTACTATAAGGTGAATGCCTACATTTCCAGTGAGCAAATGAGATTCCAGAAACTATGTCATTTCAATGTCTTTCTTTAGAGAGAAGAATTCCACTGTCCTCAGAAGCTTCATGCTTCTTCAGAGAAACTCATCATCCCCTCCTTCCCTGTAAGCATCACTGTTAGGCTTGGGGTAGACAATCTTTATGCCTTTAGAGGTATCGCGTAATAATTACACATTTTAAACAACTCCCTCCACTTGTTAACACTTGTTATCTGTCTGCCACATGGCATTAGGTCCCGAATGGCTTTTATGTGGAAATAAAACTAAATTTCTTCAAAAGAAAAAAAAAAGAGTAGCCTATTTCCTACCCGAAGCCACTTTAAAGATTTACTTTATGTGCGTGAGTGTTTTGCTTGCATGTACGTATGTGTACTATGTTCACAACATGCCTGGGGATCCCTCCCAACTCTCAGTCTCCTTCCTGGACCCCTGTCCAGATGTGTGTGTGTGTGTGTCTGTGTGTGTGTGTGTCTGCCGCCAGATTCCACGCTTATTATCCTCTTCTCTCTTGTTTACAGATGTGTCTCACACCGCTTAGACATTCTGTCTTGTCTTTGTAAGATTTCCTTACTTAGATCACTTCTAATGATCATTTCCAAGTCCCCCGGCTCTTTCTTCAGCCGTGTAAAGTCTACTATGACAAGGCTATCAAATAGATTCTTCTGTTTCTTACATTTGTTTGGCTGTGAGCCTTGTCTTTAATGGCTGAGCCATCTCTCCATCCTTCACTCCTCTATCTAAAAATTCCATTCAACTCTAGCACTTAGCTCATGACGGGAAAACAGCCTAGACCACATGAATCTCAGGTCGGTTCTAATGGAGAGAGGCAGCCTCTGTGCATGTCTGTCTTGTTGGGATTAGTGGGAGAAAGGGTAAGAAGCAAGGCGATGCCCTGTTTCATTTCAGTGAAGTCAGGAAGAGGAAAAGACTCTGGGATGTTAAAGATGAAAATTTCAAACAAGCTCTTTTATGTTTACAGCTTTGACAAACCCCCCAAAGCTCTTCTTTCTCTGGACATAACATGCTTTATTGGATCTGAAGATGTAATAAAGGATATAGAAGGTGAAACTGCTTTTATAATTCGGGGTATTTTATTAAAATATGTGTTGGGTGGTTCTGAGCAAATGCCAACTAGTAGTCACTGAAATAGATAGGAAATCAGCCCAAGTTTTTTTTTTTTTTTTTTTTTTTTGGTTTTTCGAGACAGGGTTTCTCTGTATAGCCCGGGCTGTCCTGGAACTCACTCTGTAGACCAGGCTGGCCTCGAACTCAGAAATCCGCCTGCCTCTGCCTCCCGAGTGCTGGGATTAAAGGCGTGTGCCACCACCGCCCGGCCAGCCCAAGTTTTACTGGATATAAACAAAGAGATGTTGGTCTCCTGTAAAATGAGGATCCAGGTCACACCACTGAATGTTGGTAGGTTTTCAAGTGATTAAAAATACAGGATACACAGAACCCGAGGCCCTGGATGTAACTCAATCACCGAGAGTCAGCTTTTAGTGAATTACTTCTTCAGGTGCTATTACCTGGAAGCAGGTCTTCTGTTGTCTTTGGCCAATGCTGTTAATTACTGAATAAAATTTTGTGTACTTCTTAGGCTGGAAAGACATAACCAGTGGGAAGTTTGACGTCCACAAGCTGCCAGGCAATCACTTTTATCTGATGGAACCGGACAATGAGAACTTTATCAAGAACTACATAGCCAAGTGTTTGGAACTCTCATCACTTGACTGCTTCTAGAGGAGCTTTTCTTAGGGGTGCGAATACGCAAACTGATCACAAGCTGTTCCTCCAGGTTCGGCTTTTAGTTCTTAGAGGTTGGAAAGATGCATGTTAATGAATTTCTTCGTGGAACATTTATCTCTCTGGGGAAAGGACATGGGCTGAAGAGGAGCAGAGGCACTATTGGGCATTGACAGCTGCAGAGGGAAGAGGGGGTGGTTTTCTTCTTTGGGGGATGTTGCCACCAGTAGGTTACCCATGCTCCAGGAAATGGCACTACACCTTGTGGCATGTGCAGGCAGCTCTAATTGGACTCAGTGGGAATCTGGGAGGCATACATGTTGGGGGACATCTGTCACAGGGGGTGGAAAGGCAAGTAAGGGATGGATATGATCAAAACTCACTGTTTATGTTTATGAGATATTCAAAGAATAAATAAAAATATTACTAAAGGAAGAAACTGTCTAGAAGAATCTTTTAGTGTTTCATTAGAATCTAATTTGGTTGTCATTTGTACAAAGTTTTATCAGCAAAGCGCCTCCAAACAGTTATACCTCTGTTCTGAAGTCTCTTGCAGAGTTTTCGTGGCAGAGTGATTGACAGAAGGAAACCATCACTTCTCTAACACTACAGTGCGGCTCAAAGTTTAATCTTTAGAAATATACATTAGACCCGTCTCATCAGAAAGAGTCATTGCTGCTTTATCAAAACACAGCCCTTATCTATTACTGTTCATTGTGATAGGAAGGCCTCAGGTTGCCTACAACCACAGGCACGTTGTGTCCCCGCTACCCTGCAGTGATTGGCTGGAACTCAGAGCCCTTCCATGAGTAGCCAAGCCATAGCCTGGTTAGGTAACTTGTCCATATCAACTAGTAAGTCAAGAAGTAGCTGGAGCCAAGCCTACCTGTCACTCCATAGTACCCACACATGTGGGAGCCTGAGGCAACACATTACGGCAAAGGAACTGTTCTTCTGATTATCTGACCTCCGTACCTTTCCCTTCAGTTTAGGGGTTTCTGTTTTGTTTTGGATTGGGCTTTTTTTTTTTTGAGATAAGATCTCACCATGTAGCCCAGGCTGTCCTAACTTGTGACTCTTCCAGCTCCCTTTTCTGAAGCACTGGGAAAGAGTCTGGCTGCTGTTAATTCTAAGTAAACTCCGATTGGCCCAGTAGCACTGACTCATTGTAGAGTAACAGATAGAGTCAAGAAAACAAATGTTGGGCCTGAGGAGATGGCTCAGTCAGTAAGGAGTTTGCCTTGTAAGCATAAAGACTTGAGTTCAAGCCCCAGGTCCCATATAACATGCCTGGAATGCTGGGTAATCTGTAGTCTTGGTGCTGAAGAGGAAGAGATAAGAGGGTATCTGGGCTAGTCAGTCTAGCACACTTGCTGAGCTCTAAGCTGATGAGAGATCTCTCCTCACAGGAAGTAAATAGCATATCTGGGAAAAAATATCCCAGGCTGTCCTCTGACGTCCACATGTGTGCATACACATGCACAACACACATACAAATATCCACACAGTCATAGATGCAAAAAAGAAATATATTTATTAAATTTCATATGCATACTATGAAACAATTTTTGAAAAGGAACTTTTTAAAGTCACCCTGCTCAAGCAAGTAAAGTCAGGTAACTATTTTGATATAGTCTTAAGCATTATAATTCGTGCTAATAGAAAAAAAAATACAGGATCTTATTTAGAGAGTTACTAATGAAGGCTTCCAAAAGAGATATGTCTCCATCACATTCTAAATTCCATATTTCTCAATCAGCTGTCTTGCTTTAGAAATATAGGCACACATGGCGTCTTCCTTCGATAACCCTAGAGAGACACAGACATGCTATCTCACCAACCAGTGTGGGCTGGGACGAAGAAGGTTTAACCTTGTTTAAGAGTCACAAACCTTTTTGGAGGTTCCACGCTTCCCACTTGGCCTTCCCCTTTAGATCTAACATTGCAGGGCACGCTGCAAAGAGAAGGAGAGGGTTGCAGTGTTACTTTTCACTCTACACCTCTACAAATAGCTCACAGAGAAAGAACATCTGTTCGTTTGAAACAAAGATCGGGTACCACCAATGTTGATGTCTCCAATGATGGACTGTTTGTAGAGCCCATAGAGTTCTTTGAGTTCTTCATCTTCTGGTCTGCTTTTCAGCTTCCTCACGTCTTGTGCGGCCTGGTCAAAATCAGCCTAGGGCAAAAGACAGCAGAGACATGCAAAAGGCATATGTGTGGTGCATATTCATACCTGCAGGCGAGGTACACACATACAATCTAATTTTTTTTTAAAAAAAAAAATTATAGGTCTCATGTCAACTTATTTCCCGGAAAATGAAGTTGTTTATCTTACTTCGGGTTGATTAGCAAACATGACTCATCCTGAACAAAAAAATTTTTTGGTAATTTCTCCTTTCTTCCCCTCTCCTCCCCTCTCTATAACAAATGCTGGAGAAAAATCACTTTACAGAGAAGGGTTGGTGAGCAGCTATTGTCCTGAGAACAGAAGTGGGAGTGGGAGTGGCTACAGGAAAGGTATCAGAAGGAACCTGCCTCAGAAGCCATGCTTGCAATGAATCTTGGGTAAGGGTGTGCATGTATCCAGTGTGAAGACACAAACTGGAAAAGCTGCTCCTGACAATCTGGAGGGAATTCACTAGGTCTGAACATAAAGGCTGGGTCAGATCACGTTGTTTGTTACTGAGATTGCCAGAATAAAGGGCAGACATAATGTAATTTATGTTAATACCTTAATTTATGTAATATTTTACATTCACCTTTTGTATTTTGTATCTATGGTCAAGCCCTTGTCTACTGACCCACGGCAGGAGCCACGTCAGACACCATTAGGTATATCCTTGGTGAGTGTGGATCAGAATGTTACCACAGTTGAAACACCTTTACATGTGCAGCAGTTGACAGTGAAGTTCAAAGCATTCTGGGCCAAAGGAATGCCACCTTCCCTATGCCTGTGCTTTGGGAGCTGGGCTCCTGTGGCAGATGATTCTGTCTCGGCTGAGTAAGGTTACAGCATCTTTGTTGGGTGTGATCTTCCTCTGCCCTGTGAACAATGCCCTCTCACGTTCGTGAGTGTGCTTTAAGGCCCTCCTGTTCCCATCCTTCCTGTGCCAGGGATGACACCTGACAATGAGTGCATGACACTGTATCAAAGGACCACTTGGGACCTGTGGACATTTCCAGTCAGATCTCTCCCCTCTGAAGATGACTCACAGTTTCCTTATGCCACCTTCTGTAGAAAGTGAGTACAATAGTCAGCCCACATATGAGCTTCATAAAGCCCTTTGAGCAACTCTTCCTTGTTGAAGAACTGAACTAGGAAGATAAATTCCTCAGTCAAGGTACTTAAGCCATTTGAATCACACACACTGTGTGCGTGTGTATGTGTGTGTGTGTTCTGATCATAAAATCACCTCACACTCACATCACTATTTGTGCTTGGTTGGCTGGTTGGTTTTTCAAAGCAGGGTTTCTCTGTTTAGCCCTGGCTATCCCAGAACTCAATCTATAGACCAGACTGGCCTTAATCTCAGTCTTTCACATGCCTCTGCTTCCCAAGTGCTAGAAATAAAATCATGTTCTCCTCACCCACTTCTGTGGTGTTTAGGGTAAAGGCCAGGGTTTCCTGCAAATATTCTACCACTGCTGTCTCTCCAGGCCACAAGAGATCCAATCCTAGCCTGCTGCTTTAGCTTCATCTAGGAAGGAAATGTGTCTAAGTAAAATGTCCATCCACAAAAGTAAACACCTGCAATCCTAACACTAGAGAAACTGAGGCAGTAGGACCAGCTGAAGTTGAAGGCTAGCCTGAGCTACATAGCAAGACTCTTTTTCAAAAGATTAACCCCACACACAAAACAAAAGACTTGTATTATAACTTATAAATAAAATTGGAAAATTGTGACTAAAGATGAAATTCCATCTATATTTTCACTCCCAGAACAATCTGTCAACATTTAAATATATCAGTATTTAAAAAAAAATAGAAAATGATGAACATGCCCTCGCTTTCGTTTCCACGAGTGAGCTATTAACAACGCCCAGAAGGTACATAATGTCTATCCTAACCCCATTTCTTTTCTGAAGAGAGAAGACATTTGAACACCCTAGCCAGCTACTGCCCACTGGATTTCCAATGTATTTTTTACATTTATTACAATTTTAAACTTTGATTTTTGAAATCATGTCAGACCCAGGAACAAGTTATAAAAATATGACATCTTCAGTGTCTACCAGGTTCCCCTGGCTATGGCGTTTGTAATAAGTAGTTACCAGTTCTCTCAGTGTGCAAATGACCAGCCAGTGTAGTGTGTATATGTGTGAGTGTTTGTGTGCTTCAGTGTGCATGAGTCTGAGTGCGTGTGTGTATGTGATCATGTGTGGGTGTGGGTGTGAGCATCTTTGTGTGGATCAGTGTGTGTGTGAGTCTGAGTGTGTGCGTATATGGATGTGAGCATGAGTGTGTGAGTGTGTGTGTCAGTGTGCATGAATGTGCGTGTGTCTGTGTGTTAGGGTTTGCCTATGTTGTCTTGTCTATCCTGGAACATCACACTTAAATGATCCTTCTACTTCAGTTTTTCACAATTGGTGGCAAGTAAACCCAGGGACTCCCAACTGCTAAGTAACCTACAGACAATCCACACACACTACACCCCCGCTCTTAAGTGGGTTTCTAACCTGCCTTTATCTTTATCTTCTGCTTGAAGTACTTTGTGTTTTTCTGAAACAGGGTCTCATGTAGCATAGTGCTGCTTTGAGTCTGTCACCTAGCTAAGGATGGCCTTGAACTCCTGATTCTCCTGTCTCCAAGTCCTGAGTTGGGATTACAGGTGTGTACTGCCACACCTGGCTTGAACTCACACACCCCATGTCTAGAATATATCGTATTTTTTGTTATATTATTATATTGGTAAGAATTTCAAATTGAAAAAATAAGCATATGTTTTAAGAAATTTTCACTTATAACAATTTGTTATTTAAGCATAAGCAGTTGCAGTGACTGCAATTCCAGCTTTCTTTGACCATACTGAGGCTCAATATCAAGCAAGTATGTATTTTTAAAAACTAGAATTTTATCAAAATGAAAGGAAGCCTTCGTTGCAGCAATAATAGATTTAATGCATTCAACACTGATAGTAATAGAAACCCACAACCTGTATCCATTTTAATTATTGAACTAAGGCTAGCTTTCAATGCTGCCCTATTGTCAGGGCTGCTTTTCACATGCCTTAGCTTATTGTCGCCTCATGATGTTCTTTAACCTTTAAATCCTAAAGATCCCCTCCCCCAATGCCGCTTTAAATACTGTCCGAGGTGGTACGTCAGTCATTTGACAGCCTCCCTCCTGTTTTATTTACTCCACGCTTACTATAGCAGGTATGTGGGTGCACATGTACAGTACCATGCATGTGGAGGTCAGGGAACAATTGTAAGAGTCAGTTCTCTCTTTCTACCATGTGGGTTCTGAAGGTTCAGATCACCAAGCTTGCCAGTAGGCATCATACATGAGCCTTCGAGCACGTGTGTGTGCGCACACACACACACGAACACACACACGAACACACACACACACACATGAACACACACACTAAGTAACATATCAAGACTAAAAAGGAGATGGGGTTTGTCACTCACCTATGATAACATCTTGCCTGAAGAAAGAGTTAAAGTTCACTATACTCATAATATAAAATGTTATGCATTACAAATGTGTATCTTAAGCCCAATGGTGGTGGCGTACGCCTTTTGTCCTACCACCACGCTAGAGGCAGGATCAGGCGAATCTCTATGAATTCGAGACCAGCCCACTCTAAAGAGAGAGTTCCAGGACAGCCAGGAGTAAACAGAGAGACCCTGTCTCAAAGAGAGAGGGAGAGGGAGAGGAAAAAGGGGAGGGAAGGGGGAGAGAGCAAAAAGTGTATCTTGATTTAATGAGAAAATGCTAATAAAACTATTATATACAGAAGTATGTCACAGGTGTATTGTGCACACACACCTTTCATTATACACACATGGAAAAGGGGCATATATATGGAAGCAACTTATATGTGCTTATCTGAGAAAAGGGCTTCCTGGTTTTTTTAAATTCATATTTATTCTCTTTCCACTCCTCTCAATAAAATGGTAAAGTCAGAACTTCACAGACTAGCCCTGCTATTCAACAAAACACATCTACGACAACCGCCGGAGGGCCACAAGAGCAAGGGGACATGGAGACCCCAATGGATGTCACTTGCTTCCTGGAGTTGTTAAGAGAGAGAGAGAGACAAAGAAGCTCCCTTCCTCTCCACCCCCTTCCCCCGCCCCTGTCGCCCCCAAGAGCTTGTCAATTTTTCAGATCGGTGTAAACTATCCCTGAGGGCCAAACGGGTTGCTTTGGAGATCCTGGGTCCTTGTCAACAGACGGTGAGGTGCAATATACTGTGCAATAAATAGGCGCTTAGGCAGGTGTGGAAGTCACTGGAGGGTCGTAGCAGAACGCTCCTGGGAGTAGCCTGCCCCTGCCCTGCCCCAGGGCTATCACGCCTCCTCTCGCCCCATCGGAGCGCTTCGTTCTCGGAGCACTTCTCTGGCATGGCCTTCCCAGATCTGGCTTACCTGCAAAGACATAATGATGAGACACGGAATGCTGTGGCTCTCCCAGCTCAGAGTGACAGTCCCCCCGGGCTTGGCAGCTTGAGGAGCAGTGCTCCTCCTCCGGTCTCTCCTATTGGTTGCTCCTTGGGAATGGACGACTCTCTAATTGGTCACGGGAGTTGGAGGGCGTGTCTGGGCGGTAGCTGGTATCTGCCCAGTGTCTCGGAGCTCTTTTAACACCCTCTTTTACTTACTCCACTTTTACTATGAGTGTGCACGCATGCACACTCATAGTAATTCCCTCAGTTGAGACTGTGGCTGTTTCCTTCCCTTTTCCTTGCCTCCAAGTCCTATCGTTGAGTATAGTGGGCTCCTGTGTTAACTGCACTGTATGCTGAAGTTCTTCAGAATTGGTTCCTTAACCCAGAGAGAATACACATAACACCTGATACCTGACCTCAGGGATGGCGGATATCATCTCTGGGGAATTCGACGCACAGGGAGGGGACATCGTGTTGATTTTGTGGTTACATGTGTATAACGTTCTGAGTCTTATCAGGTGCTTTTTCTCTTTACTAGTCTGATCTATGGAAGGCGGGCACTGCTGGCCACTGTTGCCTGGGACACCTCCCGTTCATATTGCTGCCAAGGACACAAATGATCATTCCCCCCAACAGCACAGACTTGAAGTGTGCTTTGATTTGGCAGCTCATCACTAAAATCCATTCCCAGTTAACTGACTTTTTCAAATGTTGGACTGATTGTTGACATGCAGGAAAAGTCATAACGGACTGAGTATTTTGGACAATTACTATACACTAATAAAATAAAAATTATTGCTATTAACAGTATGTTTGTAGATTCCACAAAACCACAGTATCATACAATGCTGAGCAAAAGCTCAGAATTCCATGCAGGACAAGAAGAATCTAGTGCTCATTCAATTCTTGCACATTTTTATTGCCAGACCTTATTGTCAGCTCTAATGCTACGATTTCTGACCCAGACTCTTAAGCTAATGTTATATTGTTGTATCCTTTAAATCTAGCAGTTCAAGAGTTAATACAAAAAGAATACTTTTATAGACCTTTTAAGTTATTAAAATATTTTGAAATATTCATAAATCTAACTATTTTCATAAATGGTATATTCATAAACTGTATTCACAAAATATCAGTTATTTACAATGTAAAATAACAGCTATCATTGAAAAATAAATTGACCATTTGGTGCATACATAGACTACCAAATGCATAGCAATTGAGGGAACTATGGGAACCATATGTTTGTAGAAAAAATCTGAACATAAACTGAGCACACATCCATGTGAAGTAACTTAGCAGACGGCTCTGAACAAAAGTGTATGGAAGTGACTGTATCTTCACAAAGGATCAAAAAAACTTTAAAATATTTTTTTTTGTTGTAAAGTTCGTGCTGCACAAATGGGAAGAAATTACCTTTGAGATCTATTCTTTTGGGAAAAATTCTTGCGGAAATATTGCTAAGTTTTCAAATAGAAAACAAGGACCAAAATAGTAGAGGATATGTATAATTTTAATTAACTCGACTCTGCCACAGCTGTCACTGGGTCATCACGGTTCCATTTGTCAGGCACTTACCATGTGGCAGGCATCGTGGTAAGCATCTTACACAGAACGCTCTTCTAATCCTCAGAATAGGCGCTATTTTTATCAATTCATAGAAGGCTAATTACCTTACCTGAGGCACTAGTTAGTGGTGAGGTTAGGGCTTCAACATAGCAGCCCGGCTGCAGAAGCTTGTAAAGTAAGAGCTGAAAAGATCATCTAGTGGAACTTCAGATCATGGGTAAACTTTAAGTCTGAAACTTTGGTGACATCAGTCATAGCCATTCCCTTTTTACTTCTTTTTCTTGTCCTCTCTTTTTTTTCTGACAAGCGCGCGCGCGCGCGCGCGTGTGTGCAAGTTCTGACCCTGTAGCCCCAGTTTGCGGTCTCCCGCCTCAGTCTCCCACGCACCAGGATTTTATGTGAACCTTTAGCATTTCAATTCTACCATCGCGATTTGTCTTTAGCGCTCCATGACTGCGGATTATAGTAAGGAATGTTTTATGAAACAAAAACCTGTTGATACACTCAAAACTCGTCCTGACTTCATTCTTGTTAATCTACTTGTGATAAAATACCCCCGCAAACTACAACAATCTTTGACCAAAAGCAACAGTTTTTGTTTTGAGTGGTAATAATGAAAATGGAGAAGATAGACCCTAAATGTTAGTCTAAAATTAGCAATGAAGAAAAAGAGGACGATAAAGAGAAGGATCTGAATCCTTCCAAAGTCATAAGAGAAGGACAGAGAGGACCAAAAAAACAACAACAATAAAATCCTGTCAAGTGTAGCCAATAGAAATTTTAATCTTTAGCACGTTATTCCATTGTTTTACAGTTGTTTGTAACTTTGCAGTAATTTGTTTCGTAACTTTTTGTCTCCATTACAGCAGGAGGCACAACAGATATTGCCGGAATATTTCGGAGTACTGCTGTGGAACTGAAAACAGTCCTTATTTTCCTTTTAGAGGGTTCAAGATTCTCCATATAATTACATGCAACCCTATAAACCCTACTTATTTGATTTTCGTGGCGCGGAGACGTGTGCAGGGAGATGGATGGCTCTAAGGGCTGGAGCTTTGCGTCCCTAGAACGAAAAGAGAGCGGGCCAGAGTTCCAAGGCAGAAGCAACTGGGCTAAAAACGGAGAGCCAAAAGGAGAGATAATTCTCTCTCAGAACCAGGCTCCAGGAACTGCTTGGTACATCATCATCTTTAGGCGACCTGTCAGAAGCGAAAGAGCCTGGTTACTATAGCAACCACAGACTCTCGCGAGACAGATAATACGCCTGCGCAGTGCTGCTCCAGAGCTCTGTCTCAGGTTTAGGGATTTTACGGAAAGACCGCTCTGTGTCGCCAAACCAGAGCTGACGTCCCTTACTGGAGTGACGTACGGCAGACAGGCAGGTAGGCGGGGCTCGTGTTCTGCGCAGGCGCAGTGCGGGCGCGCGTGGAGCCGTTGCAGTGGTCCCCGGAGGTGACCGAGTTGCTGTAGGAAATCGATCCGTCACGTGGTCTCCGCGGGGCGCTCCTGCACAGGTGGGCGCGTGCGTGCCTGTGGTCCTAGTCCCAGCCCGTGGGCACCCGGATCACCGCGGGGTGGGGGTCATCCAGTGCCCGGCCTCCCTGAGGGTCTTTCCGGTTGGCCTCACAGTCGCTCCCTGCCTCCAGGGCCTTTCCTTCTGTCGCGTGGTGAGACGTGGGACGTCATCCTCCGAGACCCCCGGAGCTTCTCTGCTGCTGACAGCCTTTCCAGGGTCTCTTCCCCAAGTCAAGGTCTCTCTGTAGCGCCAGAGAGGTTTCTAATCGCGCCACCCTTCTGAAAGGCTCTCTAGAGTCACCGTCTTGTCCTTACCTGGTTAACTCCAACTCTAGCATCTCTGTCCGAGCGATACTGAACTTCCTTTAATAGTCTTCTGGGATTCCTCGCTGCCCGCTTCCTTTTTCCTTTGGAAGGAATTCTTTAGAGAGCGGTTGTTCACTGCTCTGGCTTTAGAGTGAACCGTTTTTATTGCTCGCAGAAGCTTTTTGCTTTGCTCAATGCCTAATGGCCTACAGCAAGGATAATTCATAATAATTTGATAGGGGAAAATGTGGTATTTGAGTGCTATATCAGGCACACTGTACGTTGAATAAGGACATGAAAAACCAAAGGCCTCATTTAATGGTCTGAATCTGTAATATATGTGGTGGGTGAAATGCGTGAGAGATGGTAGTGTAAAACGGTAAACATTTTGAATCTGCAGTCGATCCTGTAGGCAGTAGCAGCTTGCAGACATAGTTGGCAAGGCACTTGAGCAAGCTCTGTACTAGTCAGCATTTTAAAAATTTGTATTGCATTGCGGTCACTTTATGTAGACTTTGCTTTTTTTCATCTCCCCTTCCAGGTTTTTGAGTTGTTAGTGAAGTGCATCCCGATCTTGCAGACCCTTGGTTGCAGAGCATCTAATTTTGAGTGTCTTACACTGCCTAGGCAGTGTACAGTAACTGGCTTGCAGTTTGGCAAGAGCTTTGGTGGGACCATTTTTGTCTTGCTTCCTGGTCCTTTTACCTATAACTAGATGCCAACTGCTGGCAGTCGCCTCGCTAGATTTGATAACCTGTTCTTGAATCTCTGAGCTTGTGGGAAGCATGCAGCTAATGAGGGATAGATTGGAATAATGCAGTGAATTGTGGGGAAGGAAGCAGTTATTAATAGCCAATGTCTGTAGCAGTGGGCAGCACTGACAGAATCAAGATTGCAGCTCTTACTGGGAATGAGTCTGCAACACCATTTCCAAAGGCTGTCCAGTTTGGAAATGGCACCTGTCCCATGCTAACACCTCCAGGTCTTGGGCAGCTTTTTACCAGCACCTGTGGTGCAGCTGTACTCCCAGAAATTCCAGCTCAGTAAGCACTAGGGTGAGTCAGTCATCTGTTCTTAAAAGCCACAGGTTGTTTCTAAGATGGAGCCATGATTCAGAAAAACTAGCTACGAGTTGTACAGTGAGTCTGCTTCCTAATCCATGCCCAGGCACTCTATAACTATAGGAACTAGCTATGTGGAGAAAGTGCCCTGAATTAGAGGAGCCTTAAGCAGAGGGGACTTATTTTAAGTTTGTCAACTGGGTCTTTATAGCTCTGAGATGAACTCTTGGAGGAGCCAGCTGAGAGGAGCAAGTATACAGTTGCCTTTGGGAAGGCTAAGCAGAATCTAAATAAATGAATGCTGACGAGAGCAGTTGACAACACCCTAACTTAACTTGTCCATAAGGTTAATATCACAGTCAGTAGGAAGAACAAATAAACCAGTGTTTTGTTTTGAATTTGCTTTTGGAAAGAGCTCAGCCCATTTATTTCTCCCTAATGGATTAATCTCTGAATTTCGTCACAAATTTTTCTTGGTTTTCATGAAATTGTCTGCCAAAGCAGTCATCTTATAATCATGTGAGAGGCAAAGGATGTGCCTGCATGTTTCAAATGTTTTAGGAACTTGGGGATCATGAGAGGAGGGAGACTTACAAAGTTTTACCCATGGACCTAGATTATTACTATTTTGGTTCTTAAAATCTGACCCGGTTCATTATGAACTTCAGAGACTACAGAAGGTAAGCTCTGTGTGGGCAGAACACAAGGACTTCAGAGCCCACCAGTAGCTGTGTCTGGAACACCATCTGCCCACTGCAGTAGCTCAGTACATGTGCTTATAAATGAATGAATGGGGGGCTGACAAGATGTTTCAGAGAGTGAAGGCATTTATGCCACATCAAGCCTGTGACCCGACTTCAACCCTCTGGAACTTACACGGAGAAAACCTACTTTGCTTATTTTTAGGTAATCATGTGCTGTGATATGACCCAAGCATAATAAATGTTAACATTCTTAAACGACTGGAAGTCTAATTAGAGTTTGGAAGATGCTAACATATCTGTAAGATTAACACCAGTCACTCTCACACTGCCTGTTGCATATCATGAAAACATAGGGGGAATTAAAATTACTTCTTCATCTTGGGAGCTGGAGAGATGGCTCAGCAGTTGAGAGCACTGGCTGCTCTTCCAAAGGTCCTGAGTTCAGTTCCCAGTAACCACATGGTGGCTCATAACCATCTATAATGGGATCTGATGCCCTATTCTGGTGTGTCTGAAGACAGCCAAAGATTACTCATGTATAAAATAAATCTTTTTTAAAAAATTACTTCATCTTGCCATAGAAATTATATGAATGATTAGACTTGCTGCAGCATATCAATCTGGAATTTAAAAAAAAAGGGAGACTATAACCAAAATATTCTCAAAACATGCATTGCTAATATAAGAATTTCATCATTTTGCTTCTTTCCAAAGGGTTTTCAAGATGGCTGCAGCCCCTCAGGCACCAAAGAGGGGATCTATTCGGAAGACTAGACCTCTGGTTGTAAAGACATCACTGAACAACCCTTATGTTATTTCCTGGAGCACCTTGGAGAGAGAAGACATACACTTTATATTACAGACACTTGAAGACAAGTTTAAATCGATTGGACTTCAGAAAATTGAAGATAAGAAGAAAAGGAAAAAAACAGCTCTTATCAAAAAGCAAAGATGCGGGCCAGATGTTGCAATCAGTGTGGATCCAAAAGAGCCTGATGAGGATGTGCAGGTGTCAGGGTGGACACCTGCACATGTCAGAAAACAGCTGGTCATTGGTGTTAATGAAGTCACCAGAGCTCTGGAGAGGAATGAGCTGCTCCTGGTTCTAGTGTGTAAGTCAGTCAAGCCTGCCATCATCACCTCACACTTGATTCAGTTGAGTTTAAGCAGATCTGTTCCTGCCTGTCAGGTACCTCAGCTCAGCCAGAGAATTGCTCCTGTCATTGGCTTAAAATGTGTGCTAGCCTTGGGCTTCAGAAAGAATACCATGGACTTTGCTGATGAAGTAGGAGTCATCATTCCCAAGGTGCCCAGCTTAAATGTGCCATGGCTTCCAGATAGAACCCAGGATCCCACAGACAGTTTAGAGACTGAACCTTCGGAAAGCCAGGACAAAGAGATTTTGGACACTTCATTTGATGATCTTACAAAACTTAGTAAGAGGAAGCTTGCTGAAGGTGGACAAACTTCAGCTGCAACCCTACAACCCCTTAAAATAAAGAAACTCATTCCCAACCCTAGTAAGATAAGGAAACCACCCAAAAGTAAAAAATCCATTTCAAAGTAGTTTTATATGACTTGTCACTTCATGTAAGGCTATGGGCTAAATAAGCACTGAAACAAATAAAATCAAATGTGTTTACACGTATTCTTAGAATCCTGCATGGAGTTGTTTTTCTCTTTGGGTAGGGCAGATACGCTGAAACTTAAAACCATGATGTACAGAAAACACTCAAAACAGTAATTAACAAAACCAAAGTTTATTAAGACTAATGTCCATGCGCATATAAATTCACTGCTTTAAAGGCTGGTACAATGCTTGCTTGCAAGAACATCAGTTTCCTACAGCACTTAATATTTCTCTATGGAAGGTGGAAAATGGCCCACAAACATTGTCTAGCAAGGTGGGTGAAACAACTGAAGAAGGCCCTCAGTTGCAAGGAGAGACACTAAATGCTAAGTAGTACACTGTCTTCAGAAGCGGCATGTCACTTTTACTTTGTGGTAATTTGGCTTTCTTTGTAGGTAAGCATTGATGCAGGCTTGGGAGAAAGGCTTGATTGATAGAAAAAAAGCCTGATAAGGTTGTTTCAATAAGAATTCCCTCCCTGCACATCATTAGTTTCCTTGTAATATATAACATCTATCAAGAGTACATTAGGGGCATAGCTCTCTGGCAGAATATGTGCTTACCAGCACATACAATCCCTGGCTTGATCCCCAGCACCAAAAACAAACAAAAGTCAAAGCAAACAAGACTACAAACTGTAAACAAAACCTAAGCCAAAGCTTACTACAGCAGTAACCTAGCTGACATGTGGCAAGAGGACACACAATACAGTGATGGGTCTTTCCGGCTAAGAGTGGAGCTGTCAGTGCTCTACAAATCCACTCTGTGTCTGGAAATTATTCTGGAATTTAGGAGTTGAGTGGGATAGCAAAACTTTTCCATCCCAAGTTTTGGATGAACTTATGGGCTGTGCCACTTTGTTCCACTTGGTGACAAATTTCCTGTTTCTGAAGGGAAGAAAGCAAGCACAATTTGGATGTAGAGTATAGGGCAGTGTAAGTTAACTCGAGACTGTTGCTTTTACATTCAGTTTTCACAGCTATTTTATATCCAAGCAGTTGCTCTGGTTACGAGTCTCTAAAATACCAACTGCTCATGTGTTTAAAGTATGAAGACACCACCGTTAACAATTAGTGTATTTAAAGTGATAGTTCTCTAACACCTGCAATGTGCAGTAAACAAATCTCCAAAGGAATGGTTTGACAGCTTCCTCATGAGGTAAATGATAAATAAGCCCATGACAAAATTCTTACCTGAAAACTCAATTTGAATAAGACATAGAAATGAGTGCAATAATTGCCAAAGAGCTGTAACTCCAGATTGACTCACTCACTCACCTACTGCTTGGCTTTCTACACAGTGCTGCAATCAATAGGTAGTTTCATTTTCTGTTAAAATGCGACACGGTTGGGCATGGTATAAGGTGAGATACCTGCCATGTGTCTGTCTGGGAACAGCACTGGTCCCATTTCTGCACCACTTGTGAGGCCCAGGGGCCCCCTCTAGTGGTGTTATCAGGGATGGCACAATTTGTGGCCTACTTAGGACCTGTCCACAGGAGGCCAGAAAGCAAACATTTTAACTTTGCAGGCAATACATACAGTCCAGTCTGTCATAACTACTTGATTTTCCTTTGTAGCATGAGACAACCATAGGTAGGACATAATAAAGATGTGTCTGTATTCTGACAAAATGTTTGGATTTTCTAAGATTTGCATGCTACAAAACATCATTCTTTGGACTATTTCCTCCAACCATTAAAAAAAAAAAAAAAGAAAGGCATTCTCAGTTTGTGAGCTGTATAGAACAGCCAACAGGTGAGACAGCCTACAGGTCACATTTGGTGACTCCTTTCTTGTAGGGAAGGAAATGTCATGTTGTCTGGACTGGAGCGGAGGCACTGGAGTAAAGGCAGGAAGAAGGATCTACTTTGTGGCATCTGACTCAAAGGCCCAGTCTATACAATGGCCTTGTTTAGTATTTTATTTTCCCTTGGGTTAGTGGCAGCATATACACATATATGTACACTGTGAAACTTGGTTTTCAAATTCTAGGTAAGAACAACATCAGTAACAAAATTATGAATACTTATTTACAAGTAAGACATTTTCCATTAGCATGACAATTTTCATGATAAATTAAAGTCAGCATAAAGGAACGTGTGCAATTTTGCATAATAAAAACATTCAGACCATCTGTGTGCTGACAGCACTACTGCACTCCTCTGGACATTTAATCTGACCTCAGAGCTTTGACTTCCTTTCCCTCAAACATCCTTGCCATGCTGAGAAATGAGATTGCACAGCAGCCCCAAGGTCTGATCAGTCAGCTGTGTACCCTCTAGTGAGCACATTGAACAATTGCCCCAAACTTTGCTTTTAAAACAATCCACTGGCCTGCTGAAGAGCAGAAGACAAACCTGTCTATGTCCTGATTTGGCTACTACACTTATGGGATAGACCTGTGTATTTGCTGATTTAGCTACTATGCTTATGGGATAATAAATGTGCTAAGTCACTGGTACATTTTCATATTGCTCCTTAAGTATCTACCACATGTCAATTCTATAAACATTCCCAGTAGCATCATGTAAGGTGATACACATATGGATCCTTGTTCTGTTTTACAAGTATATCACCATTTCATAAACAGAAAAGCAGCAGTGACTCTCCTAACAGCAAAGGTTTTCTTAACATGATGCTGCCACTTCTGTTTGGGTCACAGAGACTGGCCCACTTCTAGAGTGGAAAGACAACATCCTCTCTTTGCCGTGAGAGCTCTATGGACACCTTTAATCCCTCCCACATGTTAGTCAACAGCAGAGACTGGCTCCCAACACCCTAACTAGAAATGTGTACAACTGGTCATCTGTACTGATTGTTAGCAACTACTTCAGTTTCACTCAACTTGTGCTTTTATTCTTCTTTGGAATGACAGTTCCAGGCATCACTAAATAGAATATTAACAAATGAGAATGTCAGCCTTCTAGAAATAACATATCCATCTACTGTAGAACAAGTCCAACCTAGAGAAAGAAAAATGGGACAGTAAGACCAAATGGAAGAGGAAATGGAATTATAATACTGGGCAGTATATCGATCAGGGTTTTAAAAAGTCCCTCTGAGGGCTGGAGAGATGACTCAGCAGGTAAGAGCACTGGCTGCTCTTCCAGAGGACTGAGGTTCAATTCCCAGCCCCCACATGGCAGCTCACAACTGTCTGAACTCCAGTTCCAGTGGTTCCAACTCCCTCACACAGGCAGGCAAAACACCAATGTACAGAAACTAAAAATAAATAATTAAAAAAAAAAAGTCCCCTTGAACTTCCAAGCTGGCTAAGAGGGCAAAGGCACCTGTCACACAAGACTGATGACCTGAGTTCAGTCCTTGGAGCCCTAAGAGAAGAGGAGGAGAGGACTTGAGGACTCCTCAAAGCTGTCCTCTGATCTCCATGTATGCTGAGGCATGTATGTATCCACCCCCCACATATACACACAGACATAATAAAAATAAATAAAAAGCCCCCTTCATCCTAAGGGGGTGTCTGTATGGGACTGTCTTCTCTCTCCCCTCTCCCTATGACCCACACCCTCCACCTCTCTCTCAGAAATTACAAACAGTAGAAACAGATAAAGTCCCTTTATCCTGAAGGCAGTAGGACTGGGACTGACACATCAGGCTCACTCACCTTTTCAGAGTCTGTCCCTGGACACCTCCAGTTGTACAAATAATACTGTAAGTTGCCATCTCCTACACCAAACTTGAGTTTTTCCAAGAAGGTCTTATTTTCCATCAAATCTAGTGCATTGAACACATCAAATCCTTTCTGCCAATATAAAAAGTTTAAAAGTTTTTATACCAAGGGCTTAATGTGTTCTTTGTAGTATATATTCCTGTTAACATTCAATTCCTCTACAGTAATTTAAATAGGCACTTATAAGAAGGCTAAGTACCAACAATGTAAAGCCTCAGACTAAGCACCATCTTAGAAGACTGTATTATAAAGACAGCTGAGGAGAGAGCTGGAGAGAAGAAGGTCCATGGTTAAGAGCTACACTGCTCTTGCAAGGGACCTTTCTGCAAGTTGGTTTGCTTAAGGAAATCCAAGTAGTCCAAAAAGCAATGCAACACTCACCAATTTGGCTATAATGAGTGCATCATTCATGAGGTCCAGCAGGGGTGTCTCTGTGTGAATGTTGTAGAAGGAATATGCAGCCTTGAGGCTCTTGTGAGCAGGGTGGTGCATAACCGTGGAGGGGAGCGTGTAGAAGCTCAGGAAGTCAGTCAGCTTCCCACTGGGGCTCTGGTGGACAGAAGGAGGCAACAGTAGTAAATGTCTTCTCGAACAAGCATTTGATCAGCTGATGCCGACTCTGACTTACTCCCAACTTTCTGTCCAAACAACTGAGACTACCCTTTCGGTAACCCCTTTCAGTGTGAGCCCTTCATGCTGGGTCAAGACTAAGGAGCAGACAGTTGGAAGTTTAGCTGAAGTGCTAGGGGATTGCAAGCTCTTCCAAAGCTGGTCCTACATGGAAAGTTTCTCCAGGCTGACTGAGGAGTCAGTGCACCATGCTGAAGGACAGTGACAGAAGTAGATTTGCAGCCATCCATGCTGAGGCCCAGGCTGCCTTTCCCACACACTGAAGCATATATATGGGCTGCTGTCTGGAGGAATCAGGGCTATATGTGGAGCTAGCTACCTAATGGTGAACAGAACACAATTTTAAAGAACCTGGCCACCCAGTCTTGAGGTCCGGCACATTTTCTTAGAAATGAATAATGAGAGCTAGTTACTTGGGGGGGGGGGGGCAGACAAAACTAGTTTGCCAATGATGAGTTTTAGTTCAACAGAAAATTTCAGAATTCATAATTATCTTAAATAAATTGTGTGTGGTGGTGTACATTAGTAATCCAACTCTCAGGAAGCTCAGGAAGGATTGTCATGTTTAAAGACAGAGGCTAGAGAGATGACCCAGGTTAGATTTCTAGCATCCACATGGACATAACTGTCCATCAACTGTCTGTAACTATAGTTCCAGGAGAACTGATGCCCTCTCTTCTGGCCTGACATGCATG